GTGAACAACATGGGTCTATAATTTTCTTGGCTTGCATTTTCCTTGATGGTTTTGGTATCATACTTGTGCTAGCTTTGATTAGAGAATTTGGTGGCTGTCCTTTTTTTATATTCTAGGGAGCTTTCATAGTTTATATAAGATGGAGATAATGTGAGATAGGAGTAATATAAGACAGGTTCATCTTTCCATTGAATCCACCGGAATTTGTTGCCTAATATAAAAACTTTTATGTGTAACTTATGTAAATGAAACTGACACTTTTAGATCTTTTTTCTTTCGATTTTTTTTCTTGAGTCAGTTTTTATCACTTATATCTTTCTTAAAACATTTTTCTTTTTATATTGTCAGATTAACTTGTGTAAGTTATACATTATGTTTTGTTATGGCCTATTCTATCTACTATAATTATTCCCATTTTTAATCCTAAAATTATTCATTTCATTTTTCTTGATTAATCTTATCAATGTACACAGAGATGAGTAACTAGTATTAGTATTTCCAACAACAAGGTTTTAGTTTGATCATGTATTGTGTTTTTTAAAAACTTTGTTATTTCCTGCTATTATTTTTATTTCCTTCCGTTTAATTACTTAACATTTCCTTTTTCCTTTCCCACTGCTTCTTATTTTGAACTCACAACTCATTTGTATTAATACTTTTAAATAATTACGTATTAAACTATAAACTTGTTTTCCACCACCACTTTAATGAATTCATAAATTTTGATATGGAGTAGTTGCCATCAATTCACTAATGGTGGAAGCATCTCCAATGATGAAGATGAAAAAAGGAACTAGGCCACTTCTGTGTGGTCTTTCATAATGGCATGTACTTTGAATCCCTTCTCTTCATTCTGTGTGTATTTTCTAGAGCATCTGTATTGGCTATTGGTTTCTTCAGTGGCAAAACCTGATGGGATTGTCTGCAGAGCAGATCAATGAGTACCACAGGTGATCCTGCTGCATGGCTGATACTAATAATCTCTGCTTCTCTTCCTTTTTTCTTGCCTTCTCTTTATATTTCAACTTTGTTGGTCTCTGGATGGGGTAAAACCAAGAAGATCCTCATTTGATATTTCAAAAGAAGGGATATTTTTCACAGTAACCAAGACTTAGAAATAACCTAAATGTTCATTGACAGATGCAGAATAAAGAAATGTGAGATTTATGTGAGTGTGTGAGAGAGAGATTATTATTCAGTCATAAAAAGGAAGAAAATCCCACCATTTTTGACAACATGGACTGGCCTTGACAGCACTGTGATAAATGAAATGTTAGAGAAACACAAATGCTGTATAATCTTACTTACATGTGGAATCTAACACACTCATAGAAAAACAGCAGAATGCTGGTTTCAAGGGCTGAGAAGTGGGGGAAATGTGAGATGTTGGTCAAAGGGTACACACTGCCAGTTATAAAATGACTAAGTTCTGGTGACCAAATGTACAGCATAGTCACTGTTGTTAATAATACTGTCTTGTATTTTTTTAAAAGATTTATTTATATATTTATACAAGCACTGGGTACAGTTAGAAGCGTGGGAGGGTGAAACAATTCACCAGAGCCAGAGTGGGGACCAAAACAAGCAGATGTACTGAAATACACTGCTGAGGGGAGCTGAGGGAGCAGCGGGTGGCAGAGGAGGTCTGTCCCACAATGTGGGACATTTGTCAGTTGGGGAGTCAAACCGGCGCTGAGGAGGCTGCGGGCAGCTTCGCAGCCCAGTGCTCAACTGCTGCGCCACCAAGGGGAGGCCCCTGTCTTGTATTCTTGAAAGTTGTTATGAAGAAGGTCTTTAGTGTTCTCAATATAACCACCACTGCCACAACATGTGGTGAGGCAAAAGTTGTGTTAACTAACCTTATTATGGTAACCATTTATATATAGATACACACACACACACACACATACACACACATATATTTGTGTCAAATTACCACAGTGCATACCTTAAATTTATACAGCGTTGTATGTCAATTATCTCAATAAAACTGAGTGGAGAGTAGGTCAAATGCCTTCAGGGGCTGGGCAGACAAGAAGTGATAGGGTGTGGTTAGAAAAATAGTAACCCTCTCTAAAAGCATTCAAATTAGCACTACTTTAAAAATCACAGTGTCAGCTGGGCTGCGAAGCTGCCCGCAGCCTCTGCAGTGCCAGTTCGTTCCCCGGCGAGGGTCTCACATGGCGCACAGACCTCTCCTGCTGCACCCGCTGCTCCCCTCAGCAGTGTATTCCGTCCGTCTGCCTGTTCTGTTCCCCGCTCTGGTGAATTCTGTCACCCTCCCGTGCTTCTGACTGTACCCAGTGCTTGTATAAATAAATAAATAAATCTTTAAAAAATAAAATAAAAATAAAAATCTCTGTGCAGTTAAGCAAACATGTCTAGAAGTTAAATTCTACCTCCAGGGGTTGAGATGACTATAAAATATTATGCAAAGGTTAAGATTCTTTAATTCAGCATCAATGTAAACGAAAAGAAAGATTTCCATAACATTTCTTAATTGGCATATAACTTTCTGAAAGTCTTTGGTTTCTAGCAGTTGCTAAAATATATAATTAGGTACCTAGTTGCTGAGGTCCTACTGCTCACTGTCCAGTGGGGGTGTAAGTGCTTGAGACTGCCCCACACCAACAAGCAGTTCTCAGACTCCAAGTATTCAACTCAGTTCTGACACTAATACTAGAGACAGTGTCAGTCACCCAAGACCAGCCTCCAGTTCAAACACATACAGCAGATCAGATGTCCTCACGACTCCCTCCTCAAGTTTGATTAATTTGCTAGAACAGCACACAGATGCAGGAAATCTGTTTACTCACTAGATCACCAATTTATTACAAAGGATATTGTCATGGATAGCTGAGGAAAAAGGACAGTACATAAGTCTTGAGAAGTTTGGGATGGCAGCTGGGGAGAGAGATTCAAGATCTGCTCTGCTCTCCTTAGCACACCACAGACTTTATTAGCAGGAACAACAAAGCACAGTTTGATTAAAAAGAAGGATACAGAATAAGTCTCTACTTACAGAACAATGTTTCAATTTCTTATTTCTGGGTATTCAGCATATTTCTGGCACACATTCATTGCCAAGGTTCTGCATAATCAAATTGTTCTTCTCTCATGCTCGGTTTTGATGATCCATGGGAGGACATCATGGTCTGTACACAGGCCAGCTTTCCAGCCCATGCTGACCAGCGTTCTGGTCCTGACATCAGAGGCCCTCCTGTTTCAGCACTGTAGCTTCTGGGGTCTCCAATATCTCCCCTTTTTTTTTTTTAATGCACCCTTGACAGTGAATGTGGCAGCACACCACTTTATAAACGACAAGAAAAAACTAACAAAAATAATAAACCTATACCAAACAAAATCCAAAATTTAACATTGAGACCTGCGAACAAGTTCTGTTGGATTTAGCCGATAGGCTATGTTGTTTTAAATGTGCCAATGTGGTTTTGTTGTAATTGTGCCAATTGTTGTCATAGTTTGTCTCTAAAGTCCATGACATTGAAATAGGAGTTACATAGAACGGTATCACAACAAAACACAATAGAGTTGGTGGTGTCCATAGGGCTTGTTGATGTTCACCAGGTCAGCATACAGCAGCCTCAAGGGCATCAAGCCTTGGTCTGCTGTTCTGGAGGCCAGCACAGTCCATGGGAAGGGATCTTCTTTTTTTCTTTTTTGACTCTTATAGGTGGTATCTCAGGTGGTGGCTGGATTGCAAATGGCTGGCACTCTGGAATAGGACTGGTCCTTCTTTGATGCCAGCTCATGATAAGGATGTACTGCATTTGCTGGAACCCTGAGTGGCCCTCTAGGTGATAAGACAGAAACATACCCTCTCCCCCATTGTAGGTAAGTAGGGAGGGAAAGCTTCAGGCTTTTCCGCCCTCCCACTGTGCATGCGCACTTGGCCAAATGGCGTGGCACCGTGTGGTGTGGCATGTGTGGCGTAGGACAGTGCAGTGCAGTGTGGTGTGGTGCCCAGGACGGAGGAGTGTAGTGGAATGGACAGAGAGTGAGGTGGAATGTAGCAGAGTGTGACAGAGTATGGCAATGAACAAAGGAGAGCATGAAGACACCAACAGGGGCTGCTAGAACCGGTAATGAACCAACCCAGTATGGGTTGGTTGTGCTACATTTGACGTAGGCAGCAGGATGGTTCAAAGCGGGATGGCTCGATGCAGACGGGTATGGAACCCTTTGAAACCTGGAGAGGGATTGCAGGGTGGCCGGCCACGAGCAGATAATGCTCGGTGGCCAGCTTCCTCTCCCAGTGGGCACTTCCCAGGAATGGCCAGAGATGCATGGATCCCCAGTGCAGTTGGAAGAGGCCCTATATGAAATAGAAGAGACCCTGGATAGATACAGTGCCCGCGAGGCTGCAGGGTTTTGGGATGGGTGTTTCTCACAGCTCTGAGAGAGTCTAGGCAGAGAGAGTGATCCAGAACCCAGCAAGTATGGGATGAGATGCTGGAAGAGATGTGGATACTGCAACAACATTTGAGGATTCTGGAGGAAGAAGTTTGGGGAACCAACCCACCATTCCGGAGGTGCCAGGCTCCTTCTCAGGAGAGGAGGAGAGGGAGGCTGGCCATTTGCCCGAGTCTCAGCTGGTGATGGCAAACCTGCCTGCGACTCTGGAGAGGCCGGACTCCTCTGGAGAGAAGGAAGAGGCTGGTCCCAGGCTCCAGGCCCGCCCAGTGGAGACTCAGAAAATGAAGCGACAGTGGCCCATGACCCCAAGGGGTAAGGCTGCTGGACAACCACAAGGACAGAATTTACTACGGGGGAACTGGGGACTTGGGCAAAAATTCCACCAGAAACCAGGGAGCCCTTAACATCCTGGCTGTTACATTTGTGGGACCTGGGGGTGGATGGGATTATTTGCACAGCACAAGAGATGGAGAGACTGGCCTCCGTGACTTTACACCCACCCTTGAGACAGAGACTGCACAACAGCCGGTGGTATGGCCAGGTGACACACCCTGCTGGAATGGATAATGGCCGCCATACGGACAGTACGGGCTGATGCAGGAGACGTGCTGGGGACAGTGAGCAGATGGCAGATGTACACCGAGCTGGTACAGGTACTTCGAGAATTGGGGATGCGACAGGCCATGTTCAATGTGAATACCCGTGGTCCTGACAACAGTGTTTCACAGCAGGGATGAGAGACTTGATATTAAAGAGTGCCCCCTCATCCTCATTTGGATCCCTCCTGGCAGTTCTAGCACCCTATGTGGGACATCAGATGCACGACGTCACAACAATGATAGCCAGCTTGAGTGAAGTGAGAGCCGGTGTTCTTAGACTCAGAAAGGAATACGGGTAGTTGTTGAACAATCAAAAGGATGCTGAGGAGAGCGAGGAAGCCTCTTGGCATCACAGAACCTGTTAAAGTTACCCGTAACCGAATGTGGAGAGATTTAGTGAGAGCAGGTGTAGATCGCACAAAAATACATGCAAAGCCCAATGCGTATTTGTAGGAATTATAGCAGCAGCTGCAAGAAGCCCAGAGGTTCATGCATGGAGAAGGACTGAGGCTCAGGGGAAGCCTGGAAGCTCCAGGCCTCGCGTGTGCCCTGTACCTGGAAGACCACTTGCTGCCAACCCAGCCTGGGTGATGGCCTGATCACTTTTGAATAGTGTGAGGGCCAAGGACCCTGTCCACAGGGGATGGCGGGGACCGGAGGCCACATGTGGAGCTTGCCATCCACTGGTACCTGACTAACATGCAAAGAGTATGGCTTTGTAGGCACAGGAGCAGAATGTACTCTGCTCTATGGAATCCAGGAAGATTTCAAGGGTCTGCTTGTTACATTGATGGCTATGGAGGCCAGAGTGTCAAGGTGACAGCAGTGAGACTATTCCTGGGGGTTGGGCGATGACCCCCGAAGGAGTATAAAGTATATGTATCGCCCATCCCGGAGTACGACCTGAGGGTGGATGTACGTCGGGGCTTGTGGCTGGAGACCACAGCCAGAGAGTTTCACCTTAGAGTGCATGTGGTAAAGGCAGTGGTGCGAGGACACACTAAGCATCCGCCCCTACAACTGCCAGTCCCTAGGCGAGTGACTCATACCAAGCAATATTGGTTGCCCAGAGGCCACAAGGAAATTACGGGCACAATATCAGAATTGGAGAAAGCGGGCATTGTGGGTACTGCCCACAGCCCCGACAATTCACTGGTGTGGCCAGTGAAGAAGCCTGATGGCTCTTGGCGCATGACAGTAGATTATCATGAGTTGAGTAAGGTAGTTACCCCCTTGCATGCTGCAGTGCCTTCAGTGGCAGACTTGATGGATGGACTGAGCCCAACCTAGGCAATGTATAATTTTGTAGCCGATCTGGCAATGTGTTGTTGTTTTTTTTTTTCCATAGATATAGCTCCAGAGAGTCAGGACCAATTTACTTTCTCCTGGAAGGCCGGCAATGGACGTTTACTGTGCTGCCACAGGGATACCTGCACACCCTACTCTGTGCCACGGGCTGGTGGCAGCAGATCTGGCCCGGGAAAGGCCGTCTTCTGGGCGTTTGTATAATTACATTGATGACATTTTATTGACTAGTGACTCTCTTGCAGATTTGGAAAAGGCAGTACCTCTCCTATTGACACACCTGAAAACATGTGGCTGGGCAATCAACGAAAGCAACTGCAGGGGCCTGGACTGTCAGTTAAGTTCTTGGGGTTGCTTGGTCGGGTAAGACAAAGGTTATCCCTGATGCTGTCATAGATAAAGTACAAGCTTACCCCGCTGCAAACATAGTGAAGCAGCTGCAAGCCTTTCTGGGCCTACTGGGTTACTGGAGGGCATTTATACCTCACATGGCCCAGCTCCTACGACCTTTGTATGTATTGATACGTAAGGGGGCCAGGTGGGATTGGTCAGCTGAGGCAGACACAGCATTGGCCATGGCCAAATGGACTATAAAGACAGCTCAGGCTTTGCACGGCTTTGACCCAGTCCCACCATGTGTGCTAGATGTGCATGTTACTCAGGAAGGGTTCGGGAGGGTCTCTGGCAGAAATCAGAGAGGCTATGACAGCCAATTGGGTTCTGGTCTCAACCCTGGAACAGGGCTGAGATTAGGTATTCCTCAACTGAAAAACAGCTAGCTGCAGTATACGCAGCCTTACTAACTATTGGCAGATTGACATCATTGGACCACTACCTCGCTACAATGGACAACAGTACTCGGTCACCTGAGGGGACACTGCTACCGGGTTATTGGCAGCTTAACCTGCTCCACATGCGGACCAAGAGGCTGTTTTGGCGGCACTGGCACACCTTTGTGCTGCATATGGACGTCTGCTGGTAGTGGAGAGCGACCAAGGGACTCATTTTATAAGAGCCCGGGTGCAGCAATGGCCAAGGACATGGGTGTTGAATGAACGTTTCATACTCCCTATAGTCCCAAAGCTGCAGGGATCACATAGTGTTATAACGGCCTGCTAAAGCAAGGGCTGAGAGCTAATGCCCCCACTCTGACGCTGGCCTGGTGGAGCCGATGTCTGTGGGACGTGCTATGAACACTAAATGAGAGGAGTAGGAGAGGCTGCCTGGCTCCAGTGGAGGTGTTGCTGCACGGTGCCGCTACTCCCATTCAATTGCAGATACAAACTTTGGATATTTTGTTAAAGCTGGATTTAGACAGCAAGGCAACCTTTTTATTGCCAGCCCCAACTGGAGTGGACCCAGGGCAGACTATGGACTGGGAATGGCCCTGGACTGTGAAGGCTTCCCATGTATGCTGGGTGGCTCTGATATTCCCTGGGGTCGTGGCCTGGAGGCCAATTTACAAATAACACCATGGGTGACTGCACAGTGGCTGCCATGGGTGCGTGTTACCCACCCTGGGTGGCAGACCACAAGGCATTCCTAAAGGGGATATTTCTGATGACTCTGTGAACTATTATGAGCTTGCCACTCTTGCTGCATGTAGAACCTCTGATGCCTCTTCGCTGGCAAAGCGAGCGTGGTACTCACGACCTGGAAGGCCACTGATGCCTGCTACTTATCTTTGGACACAAAATGTGTGTATATTGCCAGATGGGAGGGATCTACCATTGCTGGTACCAATAACTTCTTTGTTTTTCCGCTCCTAGGAGAATTGAACTTAGTTATATTGTGATGTATACTGTTTGCTTTTGTGGGCCATGGCTGCAGTATTTATGTTTGTTAAAGAAAACTTGTATAATATTGTATATAGACTGTGTGGCGGAAAATCCTGAGGGGTTGATTATGGGTGAAAATCTTCAGGCTTTTCTGCCTCCCACTGCGCATGCGCCCTTGGCCAAACTGTGTGGGTTGGTTGTGCTACACCCATGTTAAAGGTTGTAAGGTCCCAGCCAAGTTGGTCTGTGTAATGAGTGGTGATAAAAGCCAAGGGCCTAGGCTTGGTTCTGCTGGGATAAAATGTTGTTCTACTGCCATGAGCCCAGAAGAATTAAGAATGACATGTTGCTCAACAGCTGTTAGGCCAGAGCAATTGCAATTTAAGTAGGTAAAAGTAAATCAAGCTTTGTATATTTGTTCCTATGGGGGCAAATTATTCTCTAGATTCTCCCTTTTTGTTTTTTTTAAAAGTTGTGATTTAAGGCTTTATTGTTTTTGAGTAACTGTCCTCGTTTTTTTAATAATTGACTGGCTTAACAATTGCCTGTTTTATGTCCCGAAGGAGGCAGATAACCATACATCCCTGCTTTTATGACGAGTTTTAGTTGTTCTTTTAAGCAAAAACTGTAATATTTTAAATTTTTTATATTAGGGAAGTTGTCATACGATTAACAAACTTACAAATTTCTATAAAATACTTAATGACTTAGAGTCAAGGATGTTAAGGATAGAGCTATAAATATTTTTTTTCTTTGACAATGCTCAGCAATGCTCAGCTGATAGGATAAGATTTTTTTTTTTTTTGTAACCTGAGGGTAAAAAGCACCATGATTTTAGATTATTTAAACAGTAGTTAATTTGTCACAGGAAACTAGTGAAAACAGTTTTAGAATATCTGAATTTTTATATGTAAAAAGGACTAAAGTTTGGTGTCACACAGGTACACTGCTAATATTTAAGTTAACTAAAATATTTTTATAGCAAGTCATTTGAACCTGTAAATTTTTTGGATGAGTTTGAAACATGTTTAATATAAATGTTGATATTTTCAAAGCATTATTTCTACAAGAATTTAGGAAAATGAATTTCAAACAATCTTTAAAACATGACAAACAGTGGTATTTTTGAAAAACATAAACAAAAAAGTAAGAAGTCACAATAACATGTATTATATAATTACTTTCAAAATTAGATGTACAAAATAATAGTCATCTTTAAAAGTCCCCTCCCACACACACAAATTGGGAATGAAATATTTAATTATGACCAACTTCGCAGCAAATCCACAAAAGACAAATGTCTCCTAACAATAAAAAGATGATGACAAGATTACACAAAAACTTAAGGACACTGAGGCTTAACTGACAATCTCAATTTACATGATTTTGAAATAAAATGATTTAAATTTTATTTCTTTATTAAATTGTCTTTGCTTTATTGCTTTACATATAGCTACAATGTAAATCTAGATGTTTAAAACACAAGATTAAAAGTCTTATTTTTTTATTTATTTTATTTATTTATTTTTATTAGTTTTTATTATTTTTCTTAAACAGTTTTTATATGTGAGAAATATAGTCAAATCATTCCACAAAATATTTTTTGTTTTTTTTTTACAATATAAGACTTAAATTTATTTGTTTAAAACACTATAAATGCAAAAGCCTTCCATGTCATTTAGAAAGACACTAAATACATAAAGGCAAGAGGAGGGAAAAATTAATAAAAGTTTTAATTGTGCCTACTGTCCCTCTAAGATTTTGGGCTTTTCTTTTTTTCTAACTTGGTATAGTTTTTTTTTTTTTTTAAATAATAAATTTTATTTTTATATTCCCCATACAATTGCAGCCCCCCCATTCTGACCCAATACCTCCCCTCCCGCCCCTCACCCCCAAAAAGTGTCTCTGGTTCATAGTTTTTTGTTGATTTTGATTTTCACTTTCTTATAGTTATTCTTTTCCTGGTCCCTTATTTAAGTTTTCTAGATTCCTGCTATGATGAGACCATCCGGTATTTTTCTTT